GTGCTCACTGTATTTTTAAAATACATGCTTGATCCCTCCTTTGCTTTTGGTTTATTAATTTTATTATGCTCCACAGTCATATTTTCAAGTTTTTTTCCTCTGTTAAACTAAAGGAGAGCAAAAATTTGGAATATAAAGCCTTTGTCCTTTTCTCTTTGATTTCAGGCTAATGCAAATTTCTTTTTAAAATCTTGAGTCATCTGATCTGATTAAATTGCAGGCAGTGGTAATCTGATTTGATGTCATGCTTCAAGAAATATTTAAACAGAAGTTATCTGGGATCCTTGTTAGTGAAAAAAAGAAAAAGAAACCTAGCTTCTGCTAGTGCAATATGAAATGAGATTATCATGAGAAGAACCCTTGTTTCAGGCCTCATTGTTGAATTCAAGGTGGCTTCAAAAATTCAGATGTTCTTTTTCTGTAAAAAAATAATGGCCAGTAGTGTGAAATGTTCAATGAAAATCAAGGTTTAATTCAACTAACTGAAGAAAAACCATAGAAGGGAACTTTCCTGTCCCTTCCACATATACCTACACTTTCCTGAAAAGCCTCTTTAGAGGATCATGAAACCCTCCTGAATAGTATGGGATAGAGTATTGGAGATATGCTAGAAGAAAGGAGAATTACCCCAAATCATGCATCTCTATCTTGCAAGGATCTTGTCCCTCACACTCGAATTCATATATTAATATATTATAGTCAACTTCTTCAAAACTAGGAATATTCTACCACAGCCAACCCAATAAATTTTCATGCCTGAGACAAAGCAGCAAATGGGGTCCTCAGTCCATTTAAGTTAAGGCACACAGTATCCAAAGCATCCAAGCTATTCTTAGCACAGGAGGCATACCTTTTCTCAAGTACTTCTCCTCAGTTCTACCCATAAAAACACAACAATTAACAAATTAAATAACTCAAAATATGTAGCCTGAGGTTGTTCTCCTAGAGGTAAGGCTGGCTCTGCAAAAATAAGCAGTAACTATGGGAAAGAGCAGATGGCATCAGCATTAGCTGAGATGAGCTATCTCCATTTGAGGAAAATACAAGAATCCCTGTCTCTTGTACTGCTCTCTCTGCTCTCTCTTTTTTTAACCCTTCGAGAGTTCCTAGGACAATTTGTCAACAGGGTTATTAGCATTTCTTATGAGATATTGACAGCTTGTCTTTCTTCCCTTCCAACTGGTGAGTGATTTCTTCACACAGTTGCCAAATACTGCCAAATCACCATGGTAAATGTATCGACAGAATCATATTAACAGCTGCTGTGCATTTACAGCACCGTAAGTTATACAGAGAGGCGAAAACACACAAGGAAATAAAGCAGCTCCCGTCAGCAGCAGTGACAAGCGTTTATTTAGCAGTTGGCTGCCTGGAACTATTTTTTATGCTTTAATTGCTAATTGTAAGATCCTATAAAAGAGCAGCCTTGGACTAAATTGTCTGTCACTCCTCGGACCTGAAAAATCATGTGTTAGTTACCTGGCTACACAAATTACATATTTGGACACAGCCCAAAGAATAAAAGGTGTTATCTTTTAATATGACTCAGAAAATGGCAATAGACTAAGACCCAATGAAAAAATAAGCCAGCAAAGACACATCTTGGGTCAGAACAAAACCCCAATTCTATCCTTCTTAACTTTCTCCTCTTTGTTCCTTCTTAGCACAGTCCACCTCCACATTTCTTAATATATATTTGGTTAAGACAAATAATATGAGTACCAGAAATCCTTGGAAAGCTCACCAAGATGTCCAATATGTGTTTATTTAATTTATTATTTCATGAATCTATACCTCACCATCAATGTAAAAGTATTTCCAAGATATATCTTACCAAAAAATCAGGTTACATTATGTAAGTTGGTCAAGGTTAATTCTGCTATAAAGTGGAACATTTAACAAAATGTCTTTGTATTAGTTTCCCTTTGTCATATGTGTCACCACACATACTTTCTTCTTGCGGTTAATTTTTGTCTCTGCAAAGTACAGGGTGGGAACAGAAAATTAATTGTTCTGACAATCTGTGTAAGTCCATTGAAAAGAGTTAAGCAAACAATGAAAAATAAACTGAGAAAAGCAACAGAAACTTTCAAGTAAATTTTGAGGAACGATACCCACAATGCTGTATGTGGGTTTAACATTCCAAAATCCTGGAAAAATCCTACCCACCCCAACCTCTTCACTACTCCACTTGATATTCTTCCCAATAAGCTTAAGAAAATAAACTCTTTAAAGCCAAGGCTGAAAAAGAGAGAGAACCCCCTACCTTTTCACTCCTCTCCAAATCTCCCTAGCTATTAAGCTTCTTAGAAGTCAGAATGTTGCTAAAGAAAGTGAATCCATGCCTAGCAGCTTAAGGAAGGCCTAAGGCTGAGAGTGGGAAGGGTGGTAACAGGAGGATGAGGCCATGAGTGCAAGAAATATTTACAGCTTTGGCAGTAGAAATACTTTGGTTTTAGCCTGGCAAGAGTAAAATTAAAAAGCAAATGTCTTACCTATTTGCAAAAAAGAAAAAAAAGAGGAAAAAAGTAAAACAAGTAAAAAAAGTTTTTAGTTCACTGGGTTTTATTCTGTTATACATAAAGAGAGTAAACCTTTAACTGGAACCTGAAGGAGAATGTATTATATATCTTAAACAACAATGGCCAATACATTTAAACAAAATATTTTCCTCAAGGCTAATTCTGAAAGGTGCTGGCTCATAATTTTAGTTTGCATAATATTTTCCCAGTTTTCATCTGGACAGGCCAGAGACAGAAATGCAGTAGTTATAGCTGGTACATGGTGTGTGTGTGTGTGTGTGTGTGTGTACAAATTGTAAGGCAAAAGAAATAGCAAAAGCTAAAAACAACAACTAAAATGTGAAGTCGTAGGCTTTCATGGCCGGCATCCATAGTTTTTGTGGGTTTTTCGGGCTGTGTGGCCATGTTCTAGAAGAGTTTCTTTCTGACGCTTCGCCAGCATCTGTGTTGGCGAAATGTCAGAAAGAAACTCTTCTAGAACATGGCTACACAGCCCGAAAAACCCACAAAAACAACAAATAAAATGTTTGTATGAGTATGCATTCATTTATTAAACAATTTAAATAAAATGTTGATGAGAATAAATTGCTTGTTTAATTATCCTAGTGCAACTGCATCACAGTATACCTCAGCCATGTCATTTCTCTCCAAGAGGAATCTCCAAATTCCTCCTCAAAATTCAGCTTTCCCCACACCCTACTGTAACATAGCCTATAGCTCAGTCTAAGCACGTGCAACTGATATTTCTCCCTTGCTCAACCTACTTCCACTTCTCCCCACTTCCCCTAATGTTTTCCCACATTGAATTTTAGACTGTAAAGCTCCTTTGGGCAGGGTTTTCTTGCACTGATAGTTTGTTATTATTGTTATTTGCAATCAAGACTGCTTTGACTTATGGTGACCCTATGAACAAGAGACCTCCAAGAGCCTCAGTCATCATCCAGAATTCTGGGGTCTTCGTAGAACAGAAAAGAGAAAGTGCACCTGCTGGCTGCATGCTGTCTCAACTTATTTTCTACATGCCCACTTGTCAATCTAAAGTCCCCAGATCCCTTCAATTTTATTAAATAGGGGGTAAGGTAAAAATTGCATGTGAAAGGCCACAAGCTTGATGCAATCGTGTAAATTAAAATAACTTCTGAAGCTTCCTGGCCCCACAAACCAGAGTCAAGAATGTTACTTTTTCAAAGGAACTAGGTACTTCACTCTTTACACTGATCACCCAACAGATTATTAAGTGTCTCATTTTCAGCACTGCAGAAAGTTTGTGCGGTTACTGTTGCTATTGTTCCACTGGAAAATAATCTTTAGTTTCCCCAAGTTTTAAATAAGTTTTCTATTGGACAGTTGACCTCCAACTCATGGAAGCAGACAGGATGTGAGCTAGGACAGACAGAAAGAGCTAGCTTAATGCCTGAACAGGGCTGTTATAGAAAGAGAATCCAGAATAGGGTTGTGAAAATGGGATTGGACTACACAGAGTGGGCCTAATTCCATTCATAATGGATTCCATTACATTTTATGAACTATGACAAACAAGCTTTACATTTACATATAGCCAAAGGCTCTGTCCCCTTCCATAGAAAATGGAAGCACCAGAAGCAAGTATAAAACCCCAAAGTGCATACTTTACTTTATCCCAAATAAATGAATGGCTCCATATACCCATATGAGAAACAATAAAGTGTTGCATTTTGGATAATAATACCAGCTTTGATCTGCCACATCCTTTATATTTCATATGTGTAGTAATGGTACTAGTGCAAAGTCAGGTTTACAGCTGAACATTAAGAAAAAAATGACCACAGATGATGTATACAGTTCTAAAGTAGATGATAAAGATGATTGAAATAGTTCAAGATTTTCCATACTTAGGCTCCATCATAAATCAGAGTAAAGATTGCAGTCAAGAAATCAGAAGAATTGGACTTGAATACTAAAGTTAGGATGTTTCACACCACAGTATTTCCCATTTATATGTATGGTTGTAAAAGCATCATCTAGAGCAGGGGTAGGCAACCTAAGGCCCGGGGGCCGGATGC